GCTAGGGGGCGCTGTGCTGCAGGGAGTGGGGGGCTCAGCAGGGGGCGCTCTCCCTTGGCAGTCAGTGCTGGTCCCAATGCCCTAGCGTGGCGCTAGGGGCCTGTCACGGGTGCCCAGGCTCGGGGCTCTGGCACTGCTCTCGGGGGGCCCCGACAGGACCCTGGGGCAGCATGACACCCCTCAGGGCGCGCGCTCACCAGGGCAAGCCCCCTTGGCTACAGCGCCTCCTGGGTCTGACCTCGGAGCATTCAGCCCCCCTGTCCCACGCTCCCCACAGTGAGTCCACCGGGCTGGGACGCCTGGGGCAGCCTCACCCGCCCCCAACGGGGCCACGCACCCCCCCCTCTGCAGCCAGCACTGACTCGCCAGCCAGCGTGGGGCACAGGAGGTTTATTAGTGGTTGGGAACACAGCGTAGAACAGAGCTTGTTAGCACAGAAAGCAGGAACCTGCAGCAAAGTCCATCTTGGGGGCGGATCCAGAGGCCTGGGCTCTCCCTGAGTCCCAAACCCGGAGACTGACCAGCCTCCAGCAGCCCAGCCTTTCAGTCACGCCCCATTGCTCCTCCTTTGTTCCTTTGTCTCTTTCCCGGGCCAACAGGTCACCTGGGCTCCACCTCTCTCTGTTCTCTAACACCTCCGGCTGCTAGGGGTTTCTGCAACAATCACACCCCCTTGTCCCACCACCTAGCCCTAGATATTTGTGCAACATACAGGGGAAACAGAGGCACCCTGTTTTCATACAAAACATTAAGAACATTCCCACTTTGTCCCAGGGCACTGTGCTGTAGGGCACTGGGCAAGGCTTCACCAGGGGGCGCTCTGCCCTCACAGTCAATGCTGACCCCAATGCTCCAGCACAGCACTATGGGGCGCTGTGCTGCAGGGGTTGGGGTGGGTAGGAACCCCCAGCCCCAGGGCCGAGCCAGACGCAGCCCCGGACACCGCGGGCTGGTGCCATCGGAATGGAATGGGCGCATGGAAAGCAGCCCCAGGGAACTGTGGAGGTCGTGGTCATTGGGGGCACTGTGGCATGTGGGTCTCCTGGGGGGAGGGGTCTCCTGTGAAGTGGGGGCAATGGGGGCACTGTGGGGGTGAAGGTCTCCTGGGGGCAGGGTTCTCCGGGGGGGGGGGGGCTGCGTCCCATTGCAGCCTGTGTGTTTCCAGAGGAGCTGCTGGCCCTGCGGGAGCAGTACCGGGACCTGATGGAGGAGTACCAGACCCTGCAAGAGAGCAACAAGATCATGGTGCACCAGCTGGAGAACCTGGAAGCCCAGAAGTACAGGTAACGGGGCTGGAAGGGGCAACAGGGCGGGGCAGGCCGGGGGGGGCCCAGCTTCAGACCCCATGGGCGGCTAGGCTCAGGACCTGCCTCCTGTTCCCCATGGCAGCTGGGGCTTGAACCAGAATCCTCAGGGGATCTGTGAGCAGGTGGGCAGGCCCCTGGCTGGGCTGGTTGGGGCTGCGCTGGGCCGGGAGCCTCCTGCCCTTGGCTGGGCCGGGCTGGGCCAGGCGCCTCCCCCCCGATGGGGGCCAGGCGGGCCAGGAGCAGCTCTGCAGTCTCTGCCCGGGGCCGCGGGCTCTCTTGGCAGATCCAGGAGCAGGTCGGAAGAGTCTCGCAAGTCGACGGAGTCGGACTTGACCCATTCTCCGGTGCGCCGGACCCTCTCTCCCCGGCGCGCCGGCCCCCGCCTGAGCGGCAGCGTCTCCTTCAAGACGGTGGACGACATAAGAACCATCAGCACCCCCAGCTGCAAGAAGGACCCCCCGAGCCAGGCCGAGGAGACCGACTCCGAGCTGAGCCTGCGCTTCCAGCTGCAGAGTGAGGAGGAGAAGGTGCATCTGGCCCAGAGCAAGGTACCCCCCCATCCTGGCCCTGCCCGGGCGGGGCGCTGCAGAGCAGGGGGGAGTGTCTCCCCAGGGGCTCCCCCAGGCCTTGGCCCCGCTGGACGGGCAGCCGCTCATGCCCCTCTCCCTGCCCCTGCAGTGTGACAACATGCAGACCGAGCTGCGGGAGCTGCAGCGGCAGTACCAGGCCATCCAGCGGGAGCGCCAGCAGCTGCAGGAGGAGCTGAAGCTGTGCCGGGCGGAAATCCAGAGACTCAAAGGCACCGTGCCCGCTGACGGGCGGGTAGGTGTGCCCCAGGGGGTGCCGCACAGCCACGGGCAGGGGCGTTGCCGACGACAGGCGTGGGTAGTGACGGTGCCACGCTGCCGTGGGGGGTGCCCCATGGGTGCTGACTGTGCCACGCTCCCACGAGGGATGGGGCTTGTGGGCGACGGCTGTGCCAAGCTGCCGCCTCCCGGGTGCCCACCACTTTCCCACAGATCCCGTTCTTGGCTGAGGCAGAGGGGGGCGCTGCTCCAGGGAGCCAGTGGGGGACCTGAGCGGGGGCGAGATGGGGGTCGCAGCCAGCGGCGTGCAGGAAGCAGTGCCCAGTGCTGGGGGAGGTACCAGCCGGGCACAGGAGCTGCCTGGACCCAGACGGCGGTGGTTTGAGCCCGGGGCTGGTCAGTAGCCGCTGGAGCTGGGGCTCGTCCAGACGTGCTGGCGGGTCCTGGTGCAGACGGGGCCTAGGACACTCCTCCAGGGAGCCCCCGCCCGCGGCCCAGCCTGACCCACGTCCCCTCCCATGGCTCAGCCCCTCCCCAGCTCCGTGAGCCCCAAGTGGCCTGGCTCCCCACAGCCCGCTGGGGCAGGGCTAGGGAGACCCCGAAAAGAGGCCGAGCCGCCTGCGATTTAATCTCTCTTTTCTCTCCCTTCTCATCTCCATCCACCCCCCCACCCCGGCCTGCGGCTGCCGCCCCATTCCATTCCCCGCTCTCCCCCCCCTAGAGCCGCCCCGCCCCCGACGCCCCCGTGATCTCCCTCCCCCTCATAGGACTGGTTGTTATAGTGGCTCTGCTCTGGTGCTGGTGGGCCGAGACCTCTTCCTAATGCCAATCAGGTACTGGTATCTCCCCTTCCCTCGGCCTGGCCCAGGCCCTGCTTGGCTCTCCCCATCCCTCGGCTGCCTTGGGTCTCCAGCACCTGCCCCCTCGCCTCTCCCCTCGTCCACCCCCTCTGCTCGCCATCTCCCCAGGCGCTTGCTCCAGGCAGGGCGGTGAGCGAGGGCAGATTCCCTCGCCCGCCAGCCGGAGACAGGGCAGGGGAGGGGCACGCCCTGGGGAAAGGAGCTGCTCAGATAACGCTCAAGACATGGCACCTTGGCCCCACTGCTGAGGGCAATAGGTGCCCCCCCCCCCCGGGCACTGCCCCTGTGTAGGGGTGCATGGTGCTGGGGCAACTGACTGCCTTCCCCTGCTGCCACTCCAGGCCCTTCCTGCCCCTCCGAGCCCAGTGGCAGTGCCTGCGCCCCAGGTGGCCAGCAGGGGGCACTGTGATGTAATGAGGTGCGACGCCCTCAGCACTGGGGCGTTGCCCGGTCGGCCAGAGCAGATTAGACGGGCTGCAGCACCAGGCCCCTGCCCTGGGGAGAGGCTTTGGGATCCCCGGGCAAAGCCCCCTGAGTGTCCATTGCGGGGAGGGGAGCGCAGCATGAGCCCCCTTGCTAAGCAGCCAGCCCCCCGCATGCCTCAGACCCCTCACCATCCCCCCACCCCCTCACAGCATCCCCCCGCCGCCCATGGTTTCTTCCCAGCACTCAAATCCCACAATCCTTTGTGGCCGCCAAGGCTCGTGGGACAGTGTTTGGCCCCAAGGGTTGGGAACCAGTGGGCTAGGCTAGGGGAGGGGCGGGCGCCCCATCAATGGGGCCGTGGGAAACAAGACGGGGGAGATGGGGGCCCACTGGGGCTGATCCCAGGGTCCCCCCAGAGAGGGGGAGCGCGAGGGATCCCATCTCTCTGTGCTCCCCTGGGGAAGGCTGCCCCCCCCAGCTGTTAGCAGCTAGCCAGTAGCTCCGCAGGGCGGCTGGTGAACTCCACCGCTCCCTGCTGGCCGGGGTCAGCTCCTGCAGCTGGGCCATGGGGAACGGGGGCTCCAGCACAACCCGCCCCCCCAGGCTCCAGGTGCCTCCCAGCCTGGCCCCCACCCCGCAGCCGCTGAGCAGCCCGGGCTCCCTGGAGGCGGGGAAGGGCTGCAGGGCACAGCACTGACCTCCCCTCCTCCCCCACACAGGTCCCGGCCGGGGGGCTGAAGCCCGTCATCCTCTTTGCAGTAGCTGCAGCCGTCTTGCTGCTGTACCCCTGCCTGAAGCGGTCCTGCGCCAGCGCCGTGCCAGCCTGAGGAGCGCCGCGCCCGGGCCATGCCACGCACGCACGCCAGATCCGCACACAGGCCCCCCGCCCCCCACAGCCTGCTCCAGCCCCCCCCCAGCACACGGAGATCACCCCCCACCCCCGGTCAGTCACACCATGGCAGCATCTGCCCCCACGTTACTGGCTCTCTCCATCCTTCGGGGCTCAGGGTCAGGGACGCTGGATCTGTGGGGCAGGGGAGGGAGACTGGAGGATGCTGCTCTGGTGGGTGCATGGATGGGGGGGGCAGCTGGGATAGGGAGCGGGTGGGCTGCAGGTTGCGTGGGAGAGTGAGGGGCTCCCTGAAAGCAGCCTCAGCCATCCCTGGGGCCCCCGGCTCTGGGCTGGGTCCGGTCCCATTGGATCATAGCGCCAGCTTGTGTGGGGGTGGTACGAGGGATCCCTGCCATCGACTCCCCAAACGGAACCTGTCCCCCCGCCGCCCCAGCCCCCGCCCTGCCCCACACTGCCCCCCCTCCATCCCAGCCCCCACCCTGCCCTCTCCATCCCAGCCCCCGCCCTGCCCCACACTGCCCACTCTCCATCCCAGCCCCCACCCTGACCCACCTTGCCCCCCTCCATCCCAGCCCCTGCCCTGACCCACATTGCCCCCCCTCCATCCCAGCCCCCACACAGCCCCCCTCCATCCCAGCCCCTGCCCTGACCCACCCTGCCCCCTCCATCCCAGCCCCCATACTGCCCCCCTGCATCCCAGCCCCCGCACTGACCCACACTGCCCCCCTCCATCCCAGCCCCCACACTGCCCCACACTGCCCCCCTCCATCCCAGCCCCCGCCCTGCTGCACACTGCCCCCCTCCATCCCAGCCCCCGCCCTGACCCACACTACCTCCCTCCATCCCAGCCCCGCCCTGACCCACACAGCCCCCCTCCATCCCAGCCCCCGCCCTGACCCACACTGCCCCCCTCCATCCCAGCCCCCACCCTGACCCACACTGCCCCCTCCTCCATCCCAGCCCCCGCCCTGCCCCCCTCCATTCCACCTCCACCCCACCATGGGGGTGCTGGGATCCCAAGGGAGCCCCAGGCAGGGCTCTGGTCCAGTCCCTTCTGATTGGTTCCATGGCCAGCGCCAGTCTGGTTCCCAGCCTCGCTGCCCGGGGTGCCCCGCCGGGGGGGAGGTTCCCACTGCCTGGCTCTCGGCGCCCCCCTGTGGCCACTGCCATGGAGCGTTGTTACCTCGGACGAGCTGCTGACAGACTGGGAGTGGCAGGATGGGCCTTGGCTGGGGTAGGGAGGATGGGCACCAGCCTGCCACCCCTCTTCTTCTAGGGACTGGGCAGACGCCACCCTGCACCTTCACCATAGCCCAGCCGTTCCGAACCCGCGCCCACCTCTTCCACCCCTCTCCAGAGCACATCGGCTCCTCTCCCGGTCGGCCAGAGGGCGGCGCTGGAGACCCAGACCCAATGCTCCCCACTCCCCGCCCCACCCACCAGAACCCTGCCCCCTGCTGGCCCGGCGCGCCCGCCCCGGCGCTCGGCGTGATCCACTGCAATAAACTGAAACCCAAGGTGGGAAGCCTGGGCCGGAGTGTTTAGCTGGCAACATGTCTTTACACGCGTGCTCCGTGCCCGGGAAGGTTGGATGCTCTCGGTGCTGTTCGGCAGGGAAGGCCCAGTGGAGAGAGATTTCGTTCTTTTTAAAGGGGGAGCCCCCATGGTTTCCCCTGCCTCTCGCTGTCACCCCTTCGCCCGAGGGCCCCGGCTGCAAACCTTCCCCCGTCACGCCAGTTCAACGTTAGCGCCCCCCTTTCTTCTGCCTTCGGCGGGCAAGCCGTGGGCACTGACCCCAGGCCTGGGCGGCTGGCGTTTGTACACTCACTGGTGTCACGACGGCTCGTGAACGGTCGGCGCAGATGGGCAGGGCAGGGTCCTTGATGAGAAAGGGGCTCTCGGGGGGGCTTCAAAACGGCTTGGGCTGGCGGGACCTTTCCCTGGGCATGTATTCCTGAAGCACCTGCGCAGGGGCTGACCTGGCCCTGTGGCCCCTGCGGCCGGCTCCTGCTCTGTCCCCGCCCAGCCCTGCGTCCCTGCTCTCCGACTGGAGCCGCGGCGGCCCCCCCAACTTGCGCGCTCGGGGGCTCCCCCTCTTTGTGGTTGTTGAATGTTGTAACTTGGTAAAAGAACTTTCTAAATCCACGGAGCCTGGGTCTGTCCTAGGCGTCGCCTCGTGCTGGGCGGGGGCTGCGCCCGGGGTACAGCGAGAACCCGGCCCGGGGACCCCCGAGGGGGCTGGAGACAGCCCTCAGGGGAGCCGAAGCCCTGGGCCAGGATCCTGCTCTGGGGAAGTCGATGGGAAACGTCCCCCCGACTGCAAGCATGGGCCCCGGCTAGAATGGCCCAGACGCCGTGGGGATGGGCCCCCCCAAGGCAGCGTAAAGCCGAGCCCACGAAGGAGCTCCTGGCTGAGGGCTGTGGGGGATGCGCGGGGCGCTCTCCTCGGGGGCTAGCTGGTGGCGGTGGAGAGAACGCCAGGCTGGAGTAATGGGGCTCCGGCTCCGCCCCGGAGCCAGCTCAGGCAGGAGCCAGAGCGCCCCCAGCTGTTCTCCTCAGCTCCAGGTTTCTCGCCCAGCCTGTCTTTGTCCAGGCCCCTCCTGAGCAGGCTCAGGGCCCCGCCTGGACCACTTTGCCCACCATGCACTGTAAGAGCCTTGAGCACAGCCCCCCCAGCCAGGACACTCCCCCTTGCCCCGGGCCGGGGTCCGGGGATCGGGGCTATCTGGGCCAGGTCAGCTGGGCTGTGAAGTGCTGGCATGAGTCTAGGGTCTCTACTCCCCGCCCCCCCACGGCTGGAGGCTGCTCGGTGGGACCCCGCTGGGGCTGCTGACGCAGGGGCTGGCTGGCTGGTGAAATGCCCCTTGCGAGCCCGAACCCCCCTCCCCTGAGCTCTGACCCGCACGCCCCTCTCTGGCCTGGCACCCGTGCCGAGCACACGGTGTTCTCTGCCGGCTGGCAGGGAGCGGCTCACTCCCCCCGGGCCGCGCCAGCCAGGTGCTTCGGGCACTGCTCAGCTGCTATATTGAGCTGCGAGGGTCAGGCACAGTGTGTGACTGTCTGATGGGGGCTGGGCCCCCCCCCCGATTCAGCGGCCCAGGGGACTGAGTGTGTTCGAGGGCGGGGCCTTGCGTGGCAGATCGCCCCCAGCGGAGCTGTCTGCTCCAGGGGCCCCCCAGAACTGGAGGGTCCAGGCCGCGCTGCCTTCCCTGGCCAGCCCCAGCGCTCGGCAGGCGGCCCCGGCTGGAGGTGCCCAGCAAGGCTCTAGGTTCTCAGCCGGCCCCTAAATCACCCTGGCGTAGCCTCCGCCCCGCTGCCGGAACCCACCCAGCGCCCCCTCTGCCCCGGGGCTCCCCTCCCAGCCTCCTGCCGCCCCGTGCAGTGGGAATCACATCCCGCCAGCGGAGTCCCGTGTGCCGGCTTGACCAAGAGCGGGGGTGCGGTGGCTGGATCCGATCTGCAGGCCCCTGGGGGGCGGGATTTCGGAGAACAGGGGGGCTCTGTGACCCAGCTGACGGAGGCCAAGTGAGAGCCGGTGACTGGGTGTTGAGGCAAGGCAGATGCTGGCCCCACGGTGCTACCTGGGAACGGCTCCCCGGGGGACAGGGCGGATTGGCTGTCTGTGCAGGTGGTGCCTGGAGCTCACGCTGGAGCAGCAGGTCCCACCTGAGCCTCTCTGGCTGGGGGGAGCAGCCGGGAGCCCACCCGGGCTGGTGGGACGAAGGGATGGGCTCCGGGAGGGGGCTGCATGGAGGGAGGGGACGATGCTAGAGCCCCCCCAGTAGCCGGGGGCTGGAGCAGGCCAAGCGCTGGAAGCACCTGGGCGACTCAGGCAAGGGGGCAGCGTTGGCCCTGGTGTAGCTGGACCCCAGGCGGCCCCTGGAGGAGTGAGTCCAGCGGTTGGACCAGCCAGGGCCTGACAGCAGCAAGAGCCACGTCCTGAGTGGGGCGGGGGGGGGGGGTCAGTCCTGTGGGGCGGAGCCAGGGGGAAGGCTGAGGGCACATGCACACAGCACACACACACCCCAGGACACACACACAGCACATACACCCCCTCTACGTCTCTCTCCACTTTCAAACCGTGCCCCCCCCCCCTTACCATCCTGTACAACCGCCCCTGGCACCTGCAGCCTTCCCCACTTCCCACACCTCATCCTCAGTGCCGTGGGGCCGAGAGCTGCCGGTCAGGATTGGGCCCCTGGACCTCGAAGGGCCTGAGTGTCGCCAGCAGTGGGGCCGGCAGGGCACTCCTGGGCTGGCCAGGGAGGTGACATGGGGAAGGATGGAGCTGGAGGACCAAGTATTTTCTAGACCGTCCCTGACAGGTGTTTGTCCAACCTGCTCTTAAAAATCTCCAGAGATGGAGATTCCACAACCTCCCTGGGCAATTTATTCCAGTGCTTAACCACCCTGACAGTGAGGAAGTTTTTCCTAATGTCCAACCTAAACCCCGTTGCTGCAATTTAAGCCCATTGCTTCTTGTCCTATCCTCAGAGGTTAACGAGAACAATTCTTCTCCCTGCTCCTTGTAACAACCTTTTATGTCCCCTCTCAGTCTTCTCTTCTCCAAACTAAACAAACCCAATTTTTTCAATCTTCCCTCCTAGGTCATGTTTCCTGGGCCTTTAATCATTTTTGTTGCTCTTCTCTGGACTCTCTCCAATTTGTCCACATCCTTCCTGAAATGTGGCATCCAGAACTAGACACAATACTCCAGCTGAGGTTGTATCAGCGCGGAGTAGAGCAGAAGAATGACTTCTCGTGTCTTGCTTACAATACTCCTGCTGATACATCCCAGAATGAGGTTTGCTTTTTTCAAGTGTTACACTGACTCATATTTAGCTTGTGATCCACTCTGACCCCGTGATCCCTTTCCTCAGTACTCCCCCCAGGCAGTCATTTCCCAGTTTGTGTGTGTGCAACAGATTGTTCCTTCCCATGTGGAGTACTTGGCATTTGTTCTTATTGAATTTCATCCTCTTTACTTCAGATCATTTCTCCAGTTTGGCCAGATCATTTTGAATTTTAATCCTGTCCTCCAAAGCACTTGCAACCCTTCCCGGCATGCTAGCGTCCGCAAACTCTATAAGTCAAGTACCAGAGGGGTAGCCGTGTTAGTCTGGATCTGTAAAGAGCGACAAAGAGTCCTGTGGCACCTTATAGACTAACAGAAGTATTGGAGCATGAGGTTTCACATCTGACGAAGTGGGCATTCACCCACGAAAGCTTATGCTCCAATATATCTGTTAGTCTATAAGGTGCCACAGGACTCTCTGTTGCTTTTTACAAACTCTATAAGTGTACTCTGTATGCTATTATCTAATCATCAGTGAAGATATTAAACAGAACCGGACCCAGAACTGATCCCTGCGGGACCCCACTCGATATGTCCTTCCAGGTTCACTGTGAAC